AGTTCTTAAAACAATATTTAACAGTGCACGGCAATGTGCAATGATAAATACCCGGTCGTTTGAAGATGATTTTCAAAAGTTTGTAATACATTTTTCTGCAAATTGAAGGACGATCCGAATTTTTTTTGCACTTAAACTGCTTCAGTGTGTATAATTGTGTGTGTACTTTAATTTGAAATTTAAAAGAAGGCGAAACTTGAACAGGCATTTAGTACATGAGCACCCTTAACCTAGTATTTGCAGTATCTGCAGCTTCACCCTTGATAATTTGTTGATTCATTGTTATCAGCGTTATAAAATAAACTGCACCGAACACAATTATACTACATTCAATAATTGAAAAATTAAAATCACTGTCAGTTTAATAACGCAATTTGTATTTGAAAACTTTATCAGATCTACAGATGCACCCGCACTAAGAGAAAAATGTCGAATTCAAAGTGCATATGTGCGTTCCAAGCCTCAGGTGCGAAGAGGCCGGAGTTGGAGCCGCCGTGACCGAAAAAAATCGGTTCGCCCTCCCATAAAAAGTTATCACTTCAAAAAACAGTGACATGAAAAAAGTGACCAACACAAAAGTTGTGAAATTTTTAACAAAATAGAATTAGAAATAATTTTTTAAATAAAAAAATTCTGTATAAGCAAATTATTTCAGCGTAATTTTTTTAAATTACTCGTAATAAAATCATCGTTAAAGCGCTTTCTGTCTCATATGAATTGGGCAACAGTTCGTAAGTTATTACTCAGTCCATATATCTCCTGAAAACAACTCTAACAAATTACCTGTGCTCCCTTAAATAGTTGCTTACTCCCGCTCTGAGGGTTTCTTCGCCCAAAAAGAGGCTCATCATCCTTATCAGCGATGAACCTTTTTTATATGAAATCGTGTCGAAAATTTCATCAATTTCTTTTGGATCTCCAATGGGAACCGATACCTGTAAGTAACCAAATAATACCGTTTTAAGTACATGGTGTCTTCAATTTGAAACCCACTTACTGGGTGAGATGATCGGAGTGCATCAAACGAAAATACGCTCAACATATCAGTAGCTCCTTCTTCTTGGAGGGAATTCCATTGGGGGAATAAATGATCCACTGCCACACTTGCCATATAAGTGGCAAATCCCTCGTTTAGCCAAAGATCGGTCCACCACTTCATGGTTACTAAATTTCCTATAAAATTTAAATTCTACTTATCGTTTTTTATATGGGCAAACAATTACCCGAATGTGGAATTAAAACATGCGAATTTCAAAACCTACATTCCAAGAATTGAAAATTCAATTTTCTAGCTTTGCAATTTAATCTTAAATTTTTATATACAGGGTGTCCCGTAAGCACATGATCAAAAGGGTACTGCGGAGGATATTCTTTGGAT